GTAGTACATTTGAAAATGCTGAATTGGTTTAATTAATTTAGAAATAGTAGACTTAGCTAGTGGAGGCCTATCCTCTTGGGTCTCTTCAGAAATGCTGTCTCAACACAAAGATTTGTTGGTCTATGTCCACATGAATCTAAATGCAGCTTTGTTTGATTACATTTCCCCTAGTATTCAAATTAATGTAAAGAGTTACAGTCTCTTGGTACAAATGATCAAACACTATCAACTGTAATATGGCAACAGACACTTCACATTTAAACCGAGCCAACATCGTAAAAATCGTAGATTAAAAATCTATGAGGCAATCCAACTATCAGTCAGAATTAGTTAATAACAGACACAATAAACTAAATCATGTTTGCTTGAAATATACCCACACTACATAACAAGAGTGAGGTCATATAATTCATTTCTACTGAAAACATTTCCACAAGGCCCTCCAGATAAGATATCAGGTTGTACAGCGCACACCACATCATTAGCTCACACATGTGCAGCGTCTCAAAGGACCTTTAATTTGAGTAGGAAAAGTCTGTTCCTCCGCTATGAGGTTAAAGAGTGGGTGACAAGTGAAGAAAATCACAGCGGAATGCATTAATTAGATAGACCTAAAAGCATATTTATCAAAGGCTAAGCCATATGGGAATTATCTTAGAAAATATCTAATGAAGACAGGACAGGTTAATAGAATAAAAGGCCTTGAATAGAATGTGTGCTTATACATAAAATATCAACCTGATCTCACATGTAAACGAATCATTAGGATGTAACGATTAAATGTTATGGCAAGCAGATCCTTAACAACTGCAATGACCTTCATGTGGTTTGGCAGTGACAATTGGCTTCTTATGTTCACTCTGATTAAAATGTCAACGCCTTTGATTTAATTCATCTCGCCATTTGGACGACTCCACATCAAATGGACCAATATTTGCTCAGTGCGAAAAGACTGATTGCGTGAAGTTAAATATGCTGATATGAAGAATACATATTTCATGAACTGAAAAACAGTACACTGGACCGCAGAGGAAATAAACAGAGGTTTTGACTGAATCATCTAAACTGTGTCAATCACCAGTGAATGTGAAGGGGCTCCCGCCACAGCTCGTGATAACTGATGGCCCCTCAGTGGCGATAGAGACAGACGGAGCTGATTGAGGGGGCTTATCTTTATGGTGGAGCCATTGAATTGTTAACAGGATGTGATGGCTTGCGTCCGCCGAGTTGAGCTGGGAAATAAAGCTGTTGGGCTCGGGCTACCCTGCCATCATTCACAGAGGTAATGATCTCTGTCTGGCTCAGAAGTAGTTTGCCCACGGGTTAGTAAAGGCATGACACAGCGTCAGGGAAAAAGTTGAACTTAGAAAGACCAACTAAGGCCAGAACAATGCAACATTTTTAATAGATTTAGTAGCCAATTTAACAGAGATTTGAATATATTGTAACATCTTCACGCAGTTTTATGTAAGACATGAGTATCCGTGTATTTTCTAGCCATGGGTATTTCATTTTCATTATGATTCACGAATAATAGTGCAGAAGTATGCAAACATTAAAATACAGCTCTTTAAAGTCCCACATGTCATAACACCATGGCAATCTTTTTTAACCAAACAGTAAGATATCACCATGAGTTTATTACAAATGATGCTGGAGATGTTCAAGATCCAAATAGAGGCGAGAGTATGTTGAAAGGACGCAGTCAAGATCTGGCTCCACTCAATTATCTTTAGCAGGATAATTAATCAATTCAGTATGCACATCCAAGTCTCAGAGGTGTCTTTGAGATAATTGTTCTCATTGACTTGAATAATTATTTGTTTGCTGATTTAATCATTCTCGCATTTGGAAAACAAATGAACTGTGCTGGTACATACTCCAAATTTGTTCAGACTTTTGATGTTGGTAGGTGAAATTTTTCAAAAATGTAGTATCAGACTGAAACACTAATGTTAAAATAAACCCAAATGCAGAATGTCTCTTGAGAAATGAACTGCAACTACATTCAGAATTTATGTCATTATGTGTATTTTTTCAGAACCCTAACCTCAACTTGTGCAAGGTCAATAAAACATGAATTGTTTCTGCCTCGTGGCATCAATACAAACTCCGCTGAATCAAAGGCTAATATTTCTCAGCGAGGAGGTCAGCCCTGGGTTACAGACATTATGTTCGCAAATAATGAGTGGCATGTGGAAAACAATTGTCTGAGTCCTCAGTTCACACCATTACAAGTATGAATGAGACCTTATGGCTACCGCTGCAAATAGCACAAATTAAGAGGGTCATTTTAATGGCATTCACTACTATTTATCATGCAGTTCTAAATGTTTTGCTCCTTTGTTTCCATTAAATATTTCATCTTCCCTTAAATATTCATTTAACTTCCTCTTTAAAAAATGTACCAGTCTCTTTGCAGTTGCTATCTTTTTGCCTCCCTTTTAGGCTTTGCAATCATAAATAATTATTCATCTACACCCAGAAAGAGATTGCATAAAACATGCACATGAATCCTTTTTGTCTTTTCTCATTAGTGATATACTTCGAGTAGCCTAAATACATCCCGCTACCCCACTTATGGAAATTGGCTGGAGAATCTTCCTAATGATTCTGCTTCACAAATAGGTTACAACTTCCATCTCTGATCCTAGCGTTCAACCCTTCTTTCATCATGAAAGGAGGGGTCTGCTACAGCGGCCGCGTTAAGAAAGCAGTTCTTGTATTACTTTTAAAAGGAGAAACATTTTGCATCAGACAATGCTACTATTTTTTTTGTTTTAATCATCTGCTAAGCTACAGGGAACTGCATGAAAAACAATAGCTGCTCCCTGACACCTAATTGTGTATTGACGAGAGATTTGAGAGTTAGTGTAATAAACAATACAACATAAAAATGACAATAGTGCAATATGTAGTCATTAAGGCTATACTTTGCGTGGGCTTTTTTTGCAGCAATATCATAATGGATGATATTTTTAATTATTTGGCTAAAAAGGAAGCTTTCATTGTCAATATTTAGCATTTTCACTACAATTTCACACTGTAAAATATCAATAAAACAATAATAAGAACACGTAAAAAATGATATCCAAACTCATGATTAATGATATGCTATTGTATTTATTTTGCTCTGTTCTTTTTACATTTTGGGTATAATGGTGAAATGAATTCACTAAAAACATGAGGCATACATCTGTGTTATACTATGTGTTAATGCTATAGCCGGGCTCTATACATTTATCTTGGCTGAACGGGCAGCATTTGTCTTAATTTGTTAGATAATTGCAACAAGACTCATTAGCAAACAGCACCATGATGGAAGGTGGAAGGCAAGCATAAACTCTCAATTTGACTGGATTATCCTTTTGTGATGAGGCCTAATGATCCAACAGAGTAAATAGCAACGTGTTAATTAGAAATTACACTGAATGATCCGTTGCACACAGAGGAGGTATTAACCAGGCAACATCATTATCTTAGATCTATAGCTGTCTTGTCTTTTTTTCTTTTATCCATGAGGTCTGATAATAAAATGGTAATTATAACTATCACCAAAAGAGAAATTATAGAATATTTGTTGCAGTTAAGAAATAAGTGGGGCTAAAAGCTCTTAAAACTAAAATGGACTGACATATTCTATACTCTTCAGAATTATTTATTGATATTGCCAAACCTGAAGGATGACTTTACCCAAATTAATTTGTAAATACAAAGACATGATATTGTCATGTTATTTCTAAATTCCCATATATATCGAACATCTGGAAATGTAACTTAAAAGTTAGATTCGTAATTATAAATGGTCATTAAACCTCAGACTGCAGTTTATTTTTCACAAAGGTATGAATTATAGCGGATGTATTGTGTATCAATAAAGGCTTCCCTTGCATGCAGTGTTAAAGTGAGCCTCTGCCTCCACCTAGTGACAAATATATGTCACTAAAGGTAAAGCTCAGATTTATGAAGTGACTAATGCACCTCCTTCAAAATCATATTAAAATGATAGTGGAAAAATTATAATAAACCACACAAAATGTAACTCGTTTTAAATACGATGTTATGATGTAGTCTTAAATACTGCATGATACACATGGAGTGTTACATTTCTACAAGTCTCGGTCTGACACTGCAGCATGGAATTTTGAATTGAACTCTCAAGTTGGCACTCATACATTTGTGTGTTTGCATAGCAACAAAACAGAGGTTGCTTAAGAAGCTTGGACCTACTAATACCCAACCTAAAATATATAGAGTTATGGTATAGGTGGACCTACATTTACTTATGTACAAGTAGCTATTCTGTAATGCAAAAAGTAAAGTGAAAAGTATTTCAGTCAAAAATGCACTCTAGCTAAATCACAGAAGTAAAATCAAAAAAGTGTAGCCTACTTGAGGTAGAAGTACAAAATGAAACATATAATCATTTCATAATAAAATGTTAATGTAAATTAATTCAATATGCCTTATTATATACATACAATATATGTAGCTCTACTACTATAACTGAAATCAAAATGCAGTTGACAATGTATTGCTGATGTTTATGGGGAATTAAAATTAACAATGAAAATCGAAGTTACATGTTTAGCAGATTCTGCTGTGACACCTCGACAGTTTTGAAGGACCAAATCTGGCAGGGGTGCCAGGTTTGCTCATTTTACATAGATCAGTCAGAACTATTTGGACTCATATATTCTCTATTGACGTATTCCAAAATAACTTGATATAAGCTGTTTGGAAATAAAATTGGAGCGAAATGCACTTTATGACGTTTGTTTGGGTCGTTTAAACATGAGACGTGAGAAACTGAACAGAAGTGAATCTTTTTAATAAAGTAGGATAACGACGAGGCATTGAAGCACGTTATAATTCAGATGGTGAAAACGATTCATTCTACATTTTATTAAAAAAAACAAAGATACCATATCTTAGTGTGCTTAGTGTTTCAGAGGTGAAGGTAGAACGTGTAGATACTAACCTGCAGGAAACACAACTGGCAACTCCACAGCACGCTCGCTTCCTCTGACGTTAGCTGAAAACTCAACAACAGAATGCTCCGGTTAGTTAGCTAATAACCGTCTTCTACCGTTACCGGCTAGTTTAATCAGTGGATACTCACCTTGCACTTTACAAGGACCCTTGGGACTGTTGTCCTAACGTTGTGTCGTAGTTGACAACTAGCTTGGTTTCATGGATAAATGCCGGCGCAAAGTGGACAACATAAGCTAGTCTTTTGCTGTGGCTAAATTAGTTAGCTAGCTAACTAGCGCATATGCTAGCATTAGCGTGACTAACGTTACGTCCACAGGAGAACATTCTGACTTGGAGGAAGGAAGGGAGGAAATTGATAAGTAGGAACACTGTGCACCGTTGCTTATGCAAAGCTAGCACTTTTTTCGACTCTCGTCTTCAAGCACCCTGACGCATTTGGAAAAGGTGACTATTTGTCCATCCTGTGCGACATATAACACTTTTTGGTCAATAATATAGCTGTTAGTGGGCATAGCTAGCTGTCAACAACAACAGTCCTTCTGGCTAGCTGTATAGCGGACGAGAGCTAGCACGCTGGCCACGAACTTTAAAAGTCAGATGCAGTTCTATAACTGATTTAGTTCAACTAGCAAACCGGTGTTTCAACTTTTAATTGGCGGACTCTTTCACTCAGATCCGCTCTAGCGGTTCTAGTGAACAGAAGAAACTGATGGCAACGGAAGTTATTGAGAGTGAAGCGGTGCTGAAGGGTGTAGGTGATATGAATTTAAACAAAAGCAGCCCAGATTTTGTCACTCCCAGGAAGACTCTTGAAGAGCTGGGAAACAGACAGGCGTCTAGTCCTTCATCTTCTGGAGTGTCTGGAGAATGTGATGAGGAGGAACTAGACGAATTAGAAAATAGCACAACGTCTACAGTGGAAAATGGCGAAGAGGCACTTCAAGAGAGTCTAACCAAAACAAGAGGTACGCCACAGGAAAGGACAACTCCAGACAATGAGCAGGAACAGCCAGGAGCGAGAAGCTCTACCCCGGTGAGCCTCCCCCAGCCCCGCTGTCCCCCTGGACCCATTGGAAGGTCTGTATATGTGTATTTTTAAGTGTGGTTTACATGTTGGCAACTTAATTATATAAGCTAGTTCCTGGTTTCATCTCTCCATTGCAAACATACTGTTCTCTCTCAGAATCCAGCACTAGAGACAGATGCCTTGTGTTCAAGTGAGAGTGTACTCTATTGCAAAGGTGTTTAAAAGACCAGCATTTATACAGTACCAAACAAAAAATAAATAATGTTAAACTGATTCAGGAACACCCTATAGTGGATTTCAAATATAAACTTAACATCATTTATTTTCTAATGAAATGCTTAGTCTAAAAACAGGCTTGAATACTAAAAGTGAAGGATATATCTTTGTGTAAACCCTGTGACATTTCTGTGTTTAAATACACTTATAGTCTGTTTCACATCACGAATATGGGTCAATATTGGCATGCAAATGTTCATTAGCTTTTTGTTCGATTTTTAATGCACGTGTAACATTTCATGATATTTCAAACATCACAAGTCCCCTAAAATGTGCTCAAGGACTACAAATATAAAATATAGTTAATAATCTTTACAGTTTGAATTAGCTGTTCACAAACTGTTTTCGGTTTTCTGGCTTTATATCTAGACTTTTATATTTATGGTTCCCCACCCTTTCCATCATTAAGATGTGACCTGGTGAGTATGGTGATTGACACTGCAAGAAAAGGTGAAGACAAGGAAGATTATACGGTAACACTTTACAATAAGGTACACAAAATGTGCTTAGTTACTGAGTAGTGAATAAGGAACGACTCGATAGTTAATGGTTAGTTAATGAGGAGTTCCTGAGTGACTGTGATTGAAGAACTGATGGTTAGTTACTGGTAAACAGACTGGGGGGCAGAGATGGGGTCGTTACTAAAAAAAAAGTAATATATTTCATATTACATATTACTTTAAAAAAAAAGTAATATATTACACTACTTCGTTACTCTCTACATAAAGTAACTCGTTACTTTACTCGTTACTTACTTTACTCGTTACTTTACTCGCAGGGCCGGCCCGCCCCTCCCTACAGGCAGATCACGCAGACTGCTAAAGTTTCAAATGTTCTCTTTAGTTCAGTTTCCATTGTCGCATAAGACTGATCCAGATAGCTCTGACTATGGCTGTCCTCTGTCTCCTGCTATCTGTATTTTGCGCAGTATATCTCTGAACGATGCGATGGTGATTCCACTGTGCAAATGGGCAACATTACCTCTACTATGAAGGATGCTCCAAGCCTGTCCATCTCTGCTTTGGTTACCGGTCCTCCAAATTCTAATTTGTGCTGCTTCGGAGTCGGCGGCGGCGCACTCACAACATCCTCACTCTGGGTTTGGGGGTCCTTAGCTATTAGCTTCACCTTAGCATGTGTTCTTTGCAGGTGTTTGTTGAGGTTTGACGTGGTGTTTGCAGCAGTGGATAACAGCTTCTGGCCTGGACACAGTTTGCACCTCACCGTCACATTCCTGTCTATTCTTCGGACGAACTCAAAATAATGGGCATACCTCCACCCCTCGAAAGTTATCGCTGACTCTGCCATGTTTATGCAGCACTGCACGTGGAGATGTGGACGCGCAAGTCGCGCAGATTACGTACATATAAACCTGCGGCGGAATCCCCTCTTGTCTGTCAGTGTGATTATGACTGATTTTATAAAAGTAACGAAGTAACGCGTGTCGGGGCAATGTTAGTAACTGTAGTGTGATTACTGAATTATAAAAGTAACGCGTTACACTACTCCGTTACCGACAAAAGTAATATTATTACAGTAACGCGTTACTTTGTAACGCGTTACTGTAATTACTTTAATTACTTTGTAGTTACTTTGTAGTTACTTTGTAACGCGTTACACCCAACTCTGCTGGGGGGTACTGTATTAAAGAATGATTCGTTAATGGTTAGTTAATGAGGAGTTCCTGGGTGACTTTGATTGAAGCAATGGTCCGCTGCAGTAGGGCACTTTTAAACCGGCCATCTTCGGCTGGCTTAGGTCCCACACTGGATCGACTGGTGGATGTGGATCCGACTCACGTGTTACTGCTTAAGTCATCATTACTTACCTTACCATTACTTAGGCAGATTAAACTCAAGTAAAGCATAAAAAAGAGTAGTTACCCATTACCTAATGATTACCTTACCGTTCCTTAAGCAGTTTGTGTCCCCTCAAGTAAAGTAATGCATGAAAAAGAGTAGTTACCCATTACCTAATGATTACCTTACCATTACTTAAGCAGTTTGTGTCCCCTCAAGTAAAGTAATGCATCAAAAACAGTAGTTACCCATTAACTCATCATTTCTTCACCATTATCTTATCATTAGTTAAAGGTGGGGTAGGTAAGTTTGAGAAACCGACTCAAGATACACTTTTTGTTATATTCCATGGAATGCTCTTAACATCCCGATAGCAATGAATATCTTAAGTGCTTTGACCAAAAATCCATTAAAAAAATTAATCTGTGGAAGCCGTAGTACTGTAAAAAGCACGACCAATCATTTTAGCCGGCCCGGCTAAAATAACTGGATGGCCTACCTGCCTGTCAGCCTTCCATCTGTGCACAAACTTATCTCGTGCCCTCATTGGTCATGTGCGCGTTCGTGTGTGTTGGAGGAGGGGCTCTGTAAGGAAGTGGCAGATTTTTTCCGGCTGTGTATTTTCAAATTTTAGCGCACTCGAGTTGGTTTCTCCAAAATTACCTACCCCACCTTTAAGCATTTTAACAAACAAAAACTGTTGATGACCATGAAGGATCTACAGCCACTCAAGTTTACATTCAAATTGAAACAACTTTTTTAACGTTTTGAAAAAAGTCATATGAGTATATACTGTTTACATGAGGAACATTACAAAAAATGAAAATAAAAACGACCTTTTATAAAATAAAACAAAACCCAAAGCTGCACTCTTCTGCACTTTTTAATTATGGGCAAATAAAAAAAACAGCTGGACAAGAGAGCATCAATGTTTTAACGGGTCACAACTGCAGGTGACTCGTTATCAATAGAGTATGTGGAAGAATGGATAGCGAAGCATCTCCTATGTCATCTGGCATTTATTCTGAGGACAACAAACACACAATGTCCTTTAACATCCACGTTGCACGTCACATCACCACATCACTGCTCACGTCACTGTCATAGTATACACATATTACAGAATTGCAGAATAACTATGAAATTGCCAAGATAACATTACCGTATTTTCCGGACTACAAGTCGCACCAGAGTATAAGTCGCTCTCAAAACGTGTCGTTAAGAGAAAAAAAACATATATAAGTCGCTTCGGTGTAGGCTATAAATCGCATTTATCCACTGAAGTCCTCATCCTCTGTGTTGCTGTGAAGATCTCACTATCACCGAGCTAGCTATCCATCCAGTTAAACACTTTCAAAGAAACTCCAGCACAGATGTCAGCTTTACTGAAGTTTAATGAATTGGTGAAACTGTAAACACAATACAGACATGGCACACTGTTATTAACTGCCCGACTGACTGAGTTGAATAAACAAAACATAATCCACACAATGAACTGCGGCACATAATGCTGATACGCTAATTAGTCTAGCCGCTAATTAGCTTAGCCACTCGGAATTCTCACTGTATATATACAGTTGCTGTTAAACACTTCCGCCAACTGCAGTGTCGATGAAGCAGCATGTCCTGTTCCGGGCTGTGCTCAGACTCTCCATCAGAATCAGCTCCGATTAGACCTTTCTGAATCCCGACAGGATGGTGTCGGTCGTCACTGAAGCCCATGCTGTGTCGATTCAACTCACAACATCCTGGAAAGTTACATGACTTTTTTCTTCTTCGGTGGTACAGCTGTTTTCAGTTGTCACGATTGTATATCTATTGGCTGGAATTTGAACGGCGCAGTCAGACGAAATTCCATAAATAAATCGCTTCGGAGTATAGTCGCAGCTCGCAGGATACAGTCAGACAGGTAAAAAAACGCGTTTTATAGTCTGGAAAATACGGTATCTTTGAGTAATCAAATATAATACAAACATACCTGAGGACAACAAATAACATCCATGTTGCACGTCACATCACTACAAAAACAGAAGACAGGAAACTCGGTACCCCCAAGTCTGTTAACCAGTAACTAACCATCAGTTCTTCAATCAAAGTAACTCATTAACTAACCATTAACGAATCATTCATTAATACAGTACCCCCCAGTCTGTTTACCAGTAACTAACCATCAGTTCTTCAATCGCAGTCACTGAGGAACTCCTCATTAACTAACCATTAACTATCTAGTCGTTCCTTATTCACTACTCAGTAACTAAGCACATTTTGTGTACCTTATTGTAAAGTGTTACCGATTATCATATTGTCTAGATAGTTGAAACCATGGCCACTGTTATTCATCCTTTTCATCTGACTCCCTAATGTAGCTGATGATTTTCGAGGCACTTTCAATCCAAGGGTGTCCTTTAAGAAAACCACATTCCTGGGGCACTTCCACTGCACCTCTCTCGGTTGGATTTCAGATGTTAGGGGATTACAACTATACACAAGCAAAGAGCTCAACTTTTTGGAAATGTTGAGCACCAAATACCCAGAATGTTTTTGTGTCTGGAAGCACAATACGGTCGTGTAAGTGATTAATGCATCAAAGGGAGCTCTGTACAGCAGAGATGCAGAGACCATGGTCCGCATTAGTGAGTGGCCTTATGGTTTATAAACTAAGCCTTTAATACAAGCTCCAAAAGCTTTTCAAGAAGCCAGTGATCTTATTATGTGGCAAGTTAGAAGCTGAAACTCTAGAGGAGATATTCAATCAACATGCAGTAACGTGATTCATCAGATAATCAAATATTTGATCAAAAAGTCAATAAGCCCATGTCATCTTGTGAGGACTGGAGAAAACATAACTTTTTTAATATGAACATAAGCAGGGTTTCGCTGACCTAATGTAATGCTAAGGTCGTAAGTAACAGGTTGGGTTAACCACAACACAGAAAGCTGTTATTACCCGTTATTATAAAGTATGCATTAGAACTATAAGGTTTATCCTAAAAGCCAAACTCTTGGTAAGCACTTCAAGCAGTATTTCCAGCTGTGAAGATACAAATCGCTTGTTCATGTCACTGTAACCTTTGCTAATGAAAACTGAGGAGTTAGCTCTAGCCTATTGATTTTAAGTGTCAGGGAGAAAGTCAGTAAACCTATTTTGATTCTTGTGTTTTGCTCCATTGAATTATTTAAAAATCAAATTCAAAAAGATGCAGAACAAAAAATTATGCCTAACCTTGTTTTAAGTATTATATGCTTTTATCCAACTTTAGTATGGTGTATCTAATGTTTTGTAGCCTTCCATCATTATCCATATTCATTACCCTGTTTTAGTCGCTGACATATAAACCCAAGAATAAAAACTGCCTTTGACTCCTGGTCGTTGCTTCCCCCATAATCCTTTGAGTATTGTACAAGTCACAAGCAGCTGTTCAAAGACGACTTATTATGTGTTTTGTTTGTCACGGATAATCTCTGCTGGCCCTGCTTTTGATCTTAATACATGTGTATTACAAGAGGGCCTTTTGGCAATTAGAGATTGTTACACTTAAAAGATGGCATAACCTTTTTTGATTTCCATTTCCAGCTTGGAGCGCCAAGAGTCAGTTGCCACAACAGAAGCTCGTCTAAGGATGGAAGGAGTTGAACTCAAAGAGGAGTGGCAGGATGAGGACTTTCCACGGTATTGTCAATCGGTCATAATGTTGTTCATCACATATGGATTATAGTTCACAGATTTGTTTCACACCTTTGTGTTTTGAAAGTCACATGAAGTATAACCCTACTGAAAGCTTTATCTCCTGCTGTTTGATTATTAGGCCCCTACCGGAGGAAGAGGAGCTGGAAGATGAGCTTTTTGCAGGAACCTCTGAAGAGATACACCCTGGTAATAATAAAAGTGTATTGCTTAAAAAAGGACACATTTTCAAGTATATCTTAAAATCCACATTGTGATCAGAGATGTATTAGTCAGTATAATACTCCTGTTCATTCTCTCAAAAATGCGTTCTTAAGTTCAGCCAAAACTAATATCATCAGTCTGAGTTATCAAACACAAAAGGGTATCTAACAATATGTTTCTTTTACTGCGAATCCTCTCAGTCAGTGAGAGGGAATATTGAAGTGAAAGACCGTACTGTTGGAAGAGATCATTTGATATCATGACTCAAACTAAAAAGAAGCCTCATATTAGTTTTAGCTGAACGAAGGAATGGACTCTTTAATTGTTCTCACAGACAGTATAAACACTGCTGCTTTGTCCTCCACCCCAGGCTATGGAATGGACCATGGCAAGAAGGCAAAGAGGAAGCTCACCGCTCCGGACATCAGTCTCACTCTGGACCGCAGCGAAGGCTCCCTCCTCTCCGATGAGCTGGATGAGAGCACAGAGCTGGACCTCGATGACATAGACACACCGTCAGACAACAGCAATGAGTTTGAATGGGAAGGTAAGAAGTTTGTATCATGACAGGATACTAATTACAGTTTTTAACCCCGTTTGTTCCAGTTTGTTTAAGTAACACTGAAAGTTCAAAGAGTTCCTTTTAGATTGACTTGATGAAGAGGGAGGTGCAAAGATGCCTTTTAAATTGGACCCAGATGAAGTCTACAGTTGTGTCATTTGTTTATGAAAAGAAGTACTCTTCTTTCTCTATTGGCTTTTAACACAGGATCAAATGTGTTATCAGTCCAACATTTTATTTCTGGGTTCTATTGCCTTTGTTTTTATTTCCTTCCTGATTGTACATATATGGGGTAGGCAGCTGACTGCCTTCAGTGCAGTTAAAATGTGCTTTGTCGTTTTTCTGTTTCCGCAATGCTGCCTTCCTCTTTTTCACTTTGAAGCAGTGTTTCCCTTCTCAGCCTGGAAACAGCCTGGAAACAGGCTGCAGGCCAGCAACAGGTTTCTCTCTCCCGTGTGGTAAGGTCTTCTGGACAGCCCCCATTTTGTTCTGCCGAACCACGAGTCAATCAACCCATATTGTCCCGATTTTGTTTTGTTGTCTGTTGTTCAACAAATCATGGGGAGGTTTTGTGTTTCATAAACTTCATTTCAGTTATTGTTTATATGCATGTCATTTTTTTTCCCTTGAAATGCGTTGAGTAAACAATCAATCAAATTCAATCTGCACAGTAATGCTGCAGTTATCACAAACTAGCCATTTTAACACCTGCTTACATCTGCTATTTGGTTATTTGTCATTTGCTGTGTCACACACAGGAAATGACAATTAATTAATACAATATAGCACCCAAATGATGCCAAATTAAATTGGCCTTTAATTGGTGATGCAATACATTTGGCATTTTACCACCTAAAATATATTTTTACATTATTATTCATTTGGTAGTTTATTTTATAAACCTTTTACCATTCATGTCCATGCTAAATTTGAGTATGAGGATCATACAGTGCTCTAAAGGAAACAACTGATTACTTGAATGGACTGCTTACAGAGATCCTTATACAAGTGTGTTGATGTGATTTGGTTGCACTATTCGCCTTTTATTTTATTTTTTGCATGCTTGACCTATGATATTTTAAACATTTACTTGGTGTCTAGATGATGCATGGTATAAGACATTGTGCACATCATGCACCTATATATTCTACAAAAGACATACAAAAATAATCAGTATTTGCACGACATATTTATTTCACATGCAGGGAACAATTACAGGTTTTCTCCCAGGAAATGGTGTCAGGTATTTGTAAATGTTGACCTCAAGTGAAAGGGAGACATGGAAGTTGAGATTTGATTGTTGGTGTTGATTCAGAGAGAAAGCATGCAGCCCAGATGCAAAAAGTAAAAGCAGAAAATGTTATGCAATCTTAATTTCCAATGATTACAATGCATGTTATTGAAAATGTAAACTATGAATAAATTGAGTGATCTAAACATTTAAAAAGATCAGACAGGTCCGTCTGCTTTGATTACACCTGACACAATCCCATCCATTGTGTGTGTAGCCTCCAGGCTGTGGGTTTAAAAATGCCCCCTCTCCTTCAGATGACCTCCCCAAGCCGAAAACCACAGAAGTCCTACAGAAGGGCGTGGAGTCCGTCCAGGAGTACTCCGCCTCGGAGGAGAGGGAGGAGGGTCGGCGCTGGAGGGTGTTTCGCATTGGAGACCAGGAGCACAGAGTGGACATGAAGGCCATCGAACCTTACAAGAGGGTTATCAGCCATGGAGGTCAGTGGCATAAATAATAAACTGATGGAAAAGTTGAACAGTCTGTGAACTTTTTTGACAATGAAAACAGTGTTTTGATACTGAAACATTAATTTTTCATGTTTGATTTTTCACTGTAGGTTACTATGGAGACGGTTTGAATGCCATAATTGTGTTCGCTGTGTGCTATATGCCTGAAAGCAGTCAACCAAATTACAGATACATCATGGACAATTTATTCAAGTGAGTGTTTATTTGATTTCTTCTGTCCTTGTGAGCGAACCATTTGGATCCAGCGCTAATGCTATTTCCCTGTTTCCTGCAGGTATGTCATCGGCACACTTGAACTTTTGGTTGCTGAGAACTATATGATTGTGTATTTGAACGGGGCCACCTCAAGGAAAAAGATGCCAACTGTCGGTTGGCTCAGGAAGTGCTATCAGCAGATTGACAGGAGGTCAGTCGCAGTGAACATCACACTCAGAAACAAGCAGAGCATCAGGCCAATCCTCAGACAGTTGTATCTAATATGTGATTAAATGTTGTCTATTTCCCTCCCTTTCTGTACAGGTTAAGGAAGAACTTGAAGTCTTTGATAATCGTTCATCCCTCCTGGTTTATTCGCACGCTGCTGGCACTCACAAAACCTTTCATAAGGTAATTTATAATGTTTAAAGTCACTAAAATGATTAAATTAAGATTCACTCTGGTAACCTTTTAGATTCTGACATTTCCCCTTTTTTCTTTTTTGACAGCACCAAATTTAGTCAGAAACTCCAGTATGTGTTCAGCTTGACAGACCTTGCAGAACTGGTTCCAATGGAGTATGTGTCCATACCAGATTGTATCAAAGAGTAAGTACAGTCCACTCAAACACACGCACTTTTCAAGCCAAATCAGACCTTCTGGGATATGGCAACATGTTCTTTATATGATACACAAGCGTTGTTATGTTTACATAGGGTGGTACTCTGTTGAGGGAAGATATTTTGTTTCCATATGAAGTGAACCTGGTGACTGCAGATTTTACAGCTGTGCAATGAAGCAATACTTGAAATATAATAATTGAAAAAACCTTGACTCCACCAGTAGAAGTAATCTGACATGTATTTACCTTTTACAGATGTAATCCAGGCCCTACTGTGCTTAGAAAAATAATATATATTTGAACAAATTAGAAAGAAAAACGTCATGTCCCTTGCTTTTCCCCTCTATTATCTGGCTGATTCTGCAGACTGTGGTTGGATTTCATCTGTAGGTGGTGCTACAGTAACATTTAGCTTTTCCTGTATGGCCAGTATAGACAAGATGTCGGGGGTTTTAAGGCTGACTCACTAGAAGAGATCCAAATGCAAGCTACTAAGATTTAAACACAGAACAGCATAGCCTTGTGCACTCATGAGTTTATTTAACGTTCAACAAGTGTCAACATTACTAAAAAATGTAGATTTGTTTTGTCCCATAAACGGCTATCAAGGAATTTGTCTTTTCCTCTGGTTGACCTTCGCTGTTCTGCATCATTATTGAGCTCATGCTGTATTTTCTACTTTACCTGATGCGGGCCTAGTTTCCATGTGGCTTTTGTAAAAGCTTCAATGCAAATTCATCTCTTTACCAAATGTGTTTGCTCTTTTTGGATGTCTGGTTGCTGTTGGCTGTCATTCTTTTTTCCTTAACTCCATTTCCCTGCCCCCTCTTAAGGTTTGACGAAGAAAAAAATAGGAAAAGCCGTAAAAGGTATATACACTAACAACCAGGGTCAGTCTCAGCATTTTGTTGTTTTGCAATTCACAAACTAACAACGAAATGATCCGTTGGCTTTCAAAAATGCAACAATACACTTCATTCTGTCCCGAATGTTTGTAGTTGGATGATTTGCTGTCCTCTCTAAATGTCCCACATTTTCCCCTCAGTGGATTAAGGATGTTCACTCAATAGCAAACTGAGAAGCTTGATTGGTTTCCAGAAATAGGTGGCTTGGTCATTATTTAACCAACTTAATCTAATTTCTGAGCCAATCCTGTAAAGTACATTTCAAAATCCATTCTTGTTTATATGTTCTCTATTCTTGCCTCAATTTAATATCAGCGATCTGTATGTTGTTAAAACATATCATGTAGCCTATTGCATACCAAAGGTACTGGTACAAGGTACAGACACTGAATCCTTGGTTTATGTAAGTAAGTAAGTCAAACTTTATTTATATAGCACCCTTCTCAACACAAATGTACAAAGTGCTTTACAGTACAGTACACAATTCACAGTACAACTAAAATGTAGAATAAGCTGTAGTCCAGCTCATACGTTTCCAGCTAAATAATTGCATTGCTGCTTTCTGATATTAAAGTTGGGGCCTCAAGTAGATCTTACTTTGCATGGTTCTTTTTAAAAACCAGGTTTAGAATTTGATCTTGGGTAAGTTTGTTCATGTTTGTACGACTGGTGGGGTGGACCTACAGGGAAGTCTTTGTCACTGTGGTTTGCACTGTAACCATGTCCTCACACGGATGTACTCGATAACTCTCTCACTGAACACTGGGCTTGTCCACTCTCACAGCTCTCTGCATGACTCACTGCATACCCACTCCTTGCTGATGTTTAGTAACTACCGCAAACCTTTGTTACCCTCATGCACACAGACTTTTTTCCACTCTATAGTATACTGATAAGCACAGATAAGGGGGTTATTGAATTGCAGTGATGTTGTGGCTTATCAAAGTAAGAATGTAAGGCATTTACTGTATCTGTATGCAGATGGTAAGTCTAGTAAGTTAAACTTTTAAGTGAAAAATGAAATATTCTCTCATACTAAAAAGTCCCTTTGGTAATGGTGTAGAGGCAATGATCACATTTCAGTATGTCATAATATAAAAACGTTTCTGTGGCAGGGCAGCCTGTTGTTATTCTATATATCGGTTATCTTGTTATATGACCTGTCATCCCAGTAGCACAGGTGTCTGATCACTGTTTAATTTCCCTGCAGAATCGACCAGGACTCGCACGGCAAAGTGGAGATCGCAGCGGCTGCTGTTCCAGAGTGACCCTGCTGGCCCTCACGATGTGGAGGAGGAAAACGATGGAGAATGTTTCAAACAGCCACTCATATGTTTATGTTCTGGGCAACGTGACTGAAAACTTGTTTGCATCATGAAGTGCCTTTTTGAAACTGTGCTGCCTGTTACATCGTGGGACTTTTCACAGTTTGATCTTCAGCGTTCTTCCACTTGCTGTCTGAAATGTTTTTAATTTTATTTTTATTTACCGCCAATATATCATGTCCAACTTAGCTTATTGGTGTCCCCTAGTTACTGGTGTATCTACACGTTATGTAAGGCACTCTGTTACAAATGATTGATGCATGTTCTGCTTTATTACATTTAAATATATATTTATATTCAAAAGGTGACAAAGGAGAGAAATTAATATATTTTTATGGTTGCTCTGATTTTAAACTGCATTTTAGGTCTCTGACCCGTTGAGTGGCATTTCATTGAACACGTGTTGACAGCCCCTTTTTCACTTTTCACTGCTGACGTTCTCTATCAAAATCCTGCCTGGGGGAAAATAAAGTTTTATTTTTTGCCCTTCACTCAGAATGTGCCCTTTGAGTTGTGTAGGGAGAACATTTGTGAAAGCAATAATCTGAAGCAAAGATGTAGGTCTTAATGTAACATTTCCTCCAAGTAAAGTCATGGATGTCATCATTGTTTTGTATTTTTCTTTATTTCATACAAGATAGGTATAATTATATGACAGCATTTGAGGTAAAAAGAATCACCAAAATATGTTTGAAAACGAATTATATTCACGTTACTTCAATCAATTCAATTGGTTTGCTTTAGATACTGCTGTATACTGTTTTTACCTTCTTTATATCATCCACGTAGACTCCACTAGATGGCACCACAAATACCGATTTCATTGAAGAAAAAAAAAATATATATATAAATATCAATATTCATATCTGTTCATTATATAAAAAAGGAGTTTATCATAATTTCAAGATACTGACAATAACAGCCACATTCATAAAAAACATGACAAGACAGATAGTATCTTGAAGATAATTAATAGAGAATGAATCAAGACATTTCAGTTAAATAATGACAATATAAAAATAAACGCATAACTTAATAACCTGTATTAAATACAAACTTAAAATATTTTACATTTTAGATGATTAAGCCTTACAAATTGTTAGAACTGATCTGTTACCATGTCATGTCCTAAAATCTTAAACCGCAGAACTGACTCCAGACACCTAATAGCGATGTCATCAACCTCAGGATCAAACTTATTTGCAAAGAGGTGATGTTGTTGAAGGAGCCAGGCGAGGTCTCCAGCGCCGTACACACACACTGATCTTCTGTAAGCACCGGTGCAATGATCGTACGGGGCTCCATCTTTTATACTGCCTGCATGATAGCCCCACTTCACCACGCGAGCGATGGCTTGCAGGTCTGACTCATCATACTTGATGTTGGCAGGGATCGATCCTGGAACGGAGGGCATCCTCTGCAGGGTCGCCCACAGGCTCTCATCGGGGCTGTAAGTGTCCCTCTCCCACTCCAATAACTTCTGAACCTTTCTGTCCTGCATCACATGCTTCACAAAGGCTCTCGTGACCACAAAGTAAGCATTTCCCATGAACATAGGGCTGCTAATAGGTGGGGGACTTTTCTTCACACCAGTCCTTACGACAGTGCCAGTAACATTGTGATGATACTGCCAGCGAGCTTTCTTGTTGTTATTGGTGGCCTCTGTCTCCATGCTGTTTCTCCCGTTTAGGGCTTTTAGAGCCTGAACCATTTCCCTGTTGGTTTTGATGGGAAAGTCGGCCCCGCAGGTGTTTAGCAGGTACCTCCACTGGACGTGTGAGTTCAGCAGATCTTTCATGCAGTTCAAATCCGCCTGCACTCGGGACCATGAGGCATAAACCACACGTTCTAACCTACTGGCTACAAACACATTAGGAAGGCAGGAAACAATTGCCTTCACTCCCTTCAGAAAGTCTTCAGAGGATTTCTGATCCACATGCACACAGTAGATATTCTGAGGAGTGTAAATAGCTTTTAGAAGACGCTCAAACATCTCAATCTTTTCATGAATAACCATTGAGTAGGCAATGGGAAAGTCCTTTTCCTCTTCACTGAGGGGTGATGTAATGAAACATCTATTTTTAAGGTAAGCTGGACAGTCCTTTGTCACGTTAAGGTAGAAGTCCTCAGTTAGTACTTTCTGTCTTTTCCTGGATCCCAAAAGCACTTCTAATTGTTTTTTCTTGCCGGTAATGTCTCCACTGATAATAGCCGAGCAGCCAGGCAGGTCAGTAAAAAACTGCTGTGGTATTCTGAGATCAGGCAACGACTGCGTGTTGGAGTCAGTTTTCCAAAGGAAAAATGAAAGCAAAGTACCTATGAGGATGAGAGAGAGGGTCCTCAAAGTCAGGCGAATGAAAAACCTTGCCATTCCTTGGCTGTAGTCACTTCAGCATCGGTGACCTTTGCTTCACTGCAAGTTAAAGTTTGACAGGGACATCTAATGAAAAACTGAATCAGCCCCCTCAGTAGGTGTGTCCAACTAAGGTGTGTTAGGCATTTGTTGAGCAAACTATATGGTATCCATTAATAGGATATGGACTTTCAGATAGACAACACTTTCCTTTGAACAGAAGGACTTGTTTGAACAAAGTATTTTCAATCAAACATAATATTGGAGCGTCTATATTATTTTATGATACGATAATATCAGCACAGCCATCACAATGTTTGCACTAAGGACATCAAGAAGAAAATATTTTATTTCATTTAAATGTCTATTTACAGAGATCATGGTCATTTCAATTATTATACACAATCATTTCACTGTTGAACGAATATATCTATAAGTAACAAAAAGAAAGTCATACAAACACATATGTGTTTTTTTACTGTTTACTCACAAATGCCCCTTCTAAGAATGTGCATTACAGGTACAGGCACTTTGTAGAGCAGAATAACACTCAACAGCACTCAAAAAAGAACAATCCCAAAGAAAAATACCACTACTCTCCTTAACATTACTGCACAATTTACATTTACATCCCGTCAGTCATAATATTGTGATTATCCACAATACATTCCTCAGATATCTTCATCTCTGTTTTCAAAGTATCTAAATTTGATTTAGACAAGTGCTCTCATCCACATGATGGGGTGCATCTGCGTCCTGCTCATGGATGAAGCTGTATCGTCGATACACCGATCCGCCTCTGCTGGTGTACACCACATCCACCTCGTCCCCGCTGTCCGGCTCAGGGACCCCGTGAGGCATGTTGGCGCTGCCGTTCAGTCTCTCGTAGCTCTGGCCCCAGCAGAGCTTCTTTCTGGCATGGGCTTTGACCAAGGCGAACACAGCCAGAGCCAACCCAAGAGCCAGCAGGAGGGCGATGGGTACGCCAGCTGAGGTGTGCTTCAGAGCTGCAGACGATACATTCAGGTCTGTTACCTGATCGTCCCCTGACTTGGGTTGCGGCACCTCCACACACAGACCTAAAACAAAAAAACTGCCTTTAAGAGATGAATCAGAATACCTTTATTAGTCCCACAGAGGGGACATTTACATTGTAAAAGTACTAAAGATAAAAAAAGAAAAGAAATTATAATAAAAAGGTTACACATTTTACAAAAATACACACCCTGTAACAGTTCTGAGGATTTAGCAGCCAGGTATATTGCACAGTTTTTAACGGCGCATATATAAATATATATATTGCTCAAATTGCACATATTGCACATAGTTTGCACATAATTGGTTGCACCTAAACAGTCCTATGTTGCTTCTGAAAGACAGGGTCTCTACCTGAGCGGCCATCACAAACACAGCAATCAGTGTCGTTGACTCCAGCCTGACAGCAGCGGGTGCAGCGCCTCGCCACAGCATGAAGAGCAAAACCCCGGTGACAAGTCAAACACTGGTCAGGTCTGAGGCCGGTGCAATGCCTGCACGAGCTGTCACATGGCTCACACGTTTCCTACATCGGTAACATTTCAAAACATCATGATTGGTAAGTGACATTACACTTTTCCAGCTTAAATTCCAGACAAAAACATAGATTTATTCTAAATAACCACAACTATGATAACTGGCAATTCACAGACCTACAGTATAGCTAGGTCTGCTAGGGAATATGTTGTCATGACCTTGATTATTTAGTTACTTTACAATTTGAAATGCATACAAAGGACATCAGCAGATCCTCATTAAATGGATACAACAATCCCAGTACACCCACTGTTTAGTAGTGCAATGATTGAGTGAGGAATTAATGTGACAACTTTTCTTTTTTTCCTAATTTGAAAATCCAACAATATTAAATAGTGGAGCATTTTCCTCTGCTTTCAAATATGTTGATTAGAATAATTAAAGTAATATGGTACATGGCTTGAAGCTAAGCGCACACCTTTTCTGAAAAGTATCGCCCCTCTTCACAACGCGGATAGCAGACTTTGTCCTTTAAAGTGCTGCCCCAGTCGCACGTCAAACATCCCTGAGGCGAGGCATCTGGAAACACATACTTATGACGTGAGAACTTGCATGAAAACAAAAGTGCAATATTGACATATCGGGCAGATATCTACATAGATAAGCAGGATAACAAATCGACCACAGAAATAACTGTGTAATGTGGCTTCAAGAACTATACCTGTGCATGTCTGACAACTGGTGTGGCACTGTTTGCACATGTCATTGAGCTGATAGAAACGATGGGGACAGTGCTCCACACACAGCTTGGTGCCCTGCAGCTCCAGAAGAGGAGGGGCACAGGCCCTGCAAGAGTCAGGCCCCGCTCCCATACACAGCTCACAGGATCGGTCACATCTCTCACACTGAGAGCCCTCTCTGTAATACCTGAGGAAATGCGTGAAATGATCAATATTAACATTAAGAAAATTAAGAAATCTTCATAGTTTTATGATAGTTGTACTACTGCTATACGATTTTAGAAAGATGTTGAACATACTGGCTATGTTAATAACTCAGATTATTTCCTAAACAAACATAATATTTCGTTATGCTTTCTAGATCAGACAATAGTGGGAGTATTAAGAAAGTCAATAGACTTTATTAAAAGGGTTGCAGTTTAATACCAAAGCAAACATTTTCAAGATTAATCAGTCAGCTGTTTACCCTGTAGGACAATGAGTGACACAGAGGTGGAGGAGACGCAGGTGTCCCGCAGAGCAGGTCAGGCAATCTTTGGGCGATGCTCCGGTACAGGAGGAACAGGCGTGATCACAAAGCAAACAGAGACCCAGCTCCGTCCCATCAGCATCCTGCTCTGTGGCGTATGTACCGGCCGGACACTCACTCACACAGCTGCTGTCTGGAAAATAAGTGCACAGAGAAAAGGTTCCATTACTAATTCAACTAAGTCAACACTTGTGCACTTTTTTCAATACTTGAGAAAAATGTTTGGCACCTGTAGAGCAGAGTTCCCGTTAGAATATTTTTTTGCCGGTCAACATGTCCGTTAAAGTTGAAATCTTCCGGACAAAATTAGATAAGTGCCGGTTAAAGGTCTTCTTTGTTATTTATTGAGCTTTAAAACAAATTGATATGATTCGACATTAAACAAACTAATTATAGTAGATTAACTACATTATTCAAAAGTGTACAGTAATTTACAAAAACGCGGGAATAATAAACGGAGCGCTCTCTC